CAGTATTTTCGCCCCTTCCCAAAATTACTTCAACGGAAGGTTTCCAGATGGATATGCGGAGTCAGGTTACAAAATGAGCCCCTTGATATGTGCTTTAGAATGGCTTTGTCTCCATTTAAATCCAGGTTTAAACCTTGCTGGGCAGCATAAAGCCCACTGCTGTCATTAAGACAGAAAAAAAGAAAGAAAAAACAAACTGTCAGTTCAGGTGTTTTAAAAATATATGAATCAAGAAATTGTCTTTATACCAAACTGAACAATTTGTTCTCCACTTGAAAAATTTTTCCATTTTTTTATATTCTTTTATTAAAAATTCAATGTATAACATGGATGCATAAACACCTCATTTTATTTCAGTGTGAATTCTGTTCAAAGTAACAGATTATAATTAAAGATGTCTCCGTACCTTTACTGGTTATCAATTTTCTTAATTCGGACCCTGCTGATTTATAATTAGATACCCCTGCTCTAAAAGGTAGACAGATGCAGCTATGTATCTGCCTTTGTGTTAAAGAAAATAAATAAAAAATGGATTATCGGGAAGAAGAATTTCACTATCTTTGTTGATCTATAGAGAAACCGTATCGATTCCAACAGAACAATCATATGAGGGAGGAATAAAATGAGGGTGATGCAGGCCTGTGAGAGACAGGAAGGTAATAGTGAGGGGTGTGTTTGGGGTAAAGGATGGCTCCAAGGTGCAAAAGGATCAAATAATCTCTGGTTTGCATTGGCAGTAAATGGATTAAAGTTTCATTTCTTCGGTTATCTGCATCAGGACAGGTGCTCAGGCTACCTCTGGATGCTGCACCGTTCATAGCACTCACATTCTGAGCAGCTTGATGTTCCTGGATGTCACATTGATCTGTGGAGATGCATGGCTGTGCTCTGGAGAGGAGAGGGAGGAATCAACAGAGGGTAGAAGGTGGAGCAGCTGGAGCTGAAATATGAAAGAAGGAAAGATTTAAACGCCTATAGTTAAAACACAGGCTTTACATCCTACAGCCTTCGCCCTTATGTTCTGTTGAGTTCTCGTCATTTCTTCTCCTAATTCCCTCAGAAAGCTTCCATATGTAGCAGCTGGGACAGGGCAGGATGCTGTAGGGATCATTGGTTGTGGCGCCCCCTAAAGGAAAAGTAAAAAAATAAAAAATAAAGGAATGATTGACATATAAAATCTTTCTAACTCCAGGTCTATTTATTTAGAAGATGATCTTAAAAAGAAGTGAGGGCTGTTTTTATTTAGAATGTTGTCCATATAGTGAGGCAGGTGGATGCCTGAACAGAAAATCCCATCATTCGATGATCAATCTTCTTCTTTAACTACAGAAAGTTTAGGAAAATAACTTCATACCTTAGTGGATCAGTGTTTGGATTAAAACGGTTTGTCGAAGTTCCCAATGTAATTCTCCTTCCTTTTCTCTCATATTTTCATTCTCTTCTCAGACAAAGCTGAGGAAATGTTTTCCATCCCAACAGAGAACTTGGCAGTTCTCCGTTTTTATTTGCATTTAGAGAAACATCAGAAAATGTGATGATGGAGCCTAAAAAGAGAAGAAATCTTCTACAGCTTTGCACTGTTTTCTCTTTATAGAACAAATACCCTCACATCATCCCCACCAAGACAGAGTCTTATTCTGTGATACGGGAATCTGGCCACCAGATCAATACATGTTCTGTATCATGCAGGTTATGGACTGGATAGAAAACCACGGCGAGGCCTTCCTCAGCAAACACACAGGGGTTGGGAAATCCCTCCATCGAGCCCGAGCCCTGCAGAAAAGGCACGATGACTTTGAAGACGTAGCCCAGGTGAGTCTGTCTGCCTTCTACTGCAACAGGTAGTTTAGTGGCTGTGAGGAAGTATTCTCCTCCTTAAAGATTAAGGTTTCTGACAAAAAGAGATCTTCAAAAAAAAAAAAAGCATTTTTCAATTTTTATGGATTACTTTTTATTTATTTATTTTTTTTAGATTTGCACTTTTTATTGAAAATATTTTTTTCCCATAAAGTATACATACCGATTTTACAGTTTTTTTTTCTTTCCAAACACAACATCCAACAGAATCTGCACATATATTCTGTACATGTATTGAACTGTAACCAAACTATTTACAGCCTGTAACTCTATAAGGGCACCCAAACCCTCACTATTAACCAACAAAGTCTGATCTCCATGGTGAAATAAAACCTTGCCAATTTTCCCAATAATTTTTACATTTTCCAGATTCAAATCTGATGGAAAAAGTCAGCCTTTCCATAATATAAATATTATGTATTATGTCAACCCAATCTTAGATGGATTACTTTTTAATAAGCGGACCTGAACCAATGTGAAAAAGTTATGAATCATGAAATAAGAACTATTCAGCCAAACATTTAGTCAAATAACACAAGGTGCCTGATAAATGACTAATTTAGCCAACCTTTAGTTTTTCACCATGAGCTCAATAAGGATACACCACAATTCAATTTATTTATTAATCTATTTATATAACCGTGGCTTCAATTCACAACACATCATCCCAAGTTTATATATTGTCATTGACTCTTCAGTAACCCTTACGCCAAGCATGCATGCAGCGACAGTAGAGAGGAAAACTCCCTTTTAAGAGGAAGAAACCTCCATTAGAACCAGGCTTAATGTGAGCGGCCATCTGCCACAGGCGACTGGGATTCTGAGAAACATAGGCACTGATCCAGACAATTTTCTTCTCAAAAAGGGAGCATATAAGGTTAGGCTTAGAAGAGAAACAGGACTACACAGTGAAAATTTGTTGGCAGCAGCTTTAGCTGTTCACTCCCTCTAAGCATGGATTCCCGGCTAAACAGAAACAAGCAAGAACAAGAAGTAGAAGAAGAAAAAACATAAAGTTTTAAGTTAAACTAACAAACAATACAGAATTGAAAAATAGAAGAATATTTTAGCATGAAGAGAGCAACAATAGAATAGAAGTATAACCTAAGCCACTCTACCTATAAGCTTTGTCAAAAAGAAAAGTTTAATTTTCCCCTAAAAGTAGACAGGGTGTCTGCCTCACGGACTAAAACTGGAGCCTGATAACTAAAAGATCAGCCTCCCATTCTACTTTTAGAAATTCTAGGAACCACTAGTAAACCTGCAGACTGAGAGCGAAGTGCTCTGTTAGGGACATAAGGAACAATCATATCTCTGATATAATGCCATTTAAGGCAGTTTTTATAAATTCAATTCTAGATTTAAGAAAAAGCCAATGAAGAGAAGCCATGATAGGAGAGATGTGATTTTCCTTTTTAATTTTCATCAGAACTCTGGCTGCAGCATTTTGGATCAGCTGAAGACTTTTAACTACAGTTTGTGGACTTCCTGATAGTAAAGAATTACAGTAGTCCAGCCTTGAAGTAACAAATGCATGGACTAGTTTCTCAGCATCACACCTGGACAGGAGATTTCTAATAGAGTTAAAAGTCTCAGAGAACACAAGCGTTTCCATCTCGCAATGATTGATAAAACAAAATGGAGTGACTGATTGATTTGTTAGTGGTCTAGTCAAAGTCTCCTCTATAATCCCAGATGGTTACTCTTGGTGTGGCTGGTGAAACTGAACAGATGTTTTCTCTGAGGACTATGCTGATTCAGGTTTGTCAGATGTAAGCATGAAAAAACAAAACTGGGCTTAATAAATTAACCTCTGCAAACTAAACTACTCCTGATTTCAGCTTTGATTCAGATTATCTCAAAGAGTCGTTCAGGTTGGTAGATATCAATAAATATCACCATAATGCTTTATTTAAAATTAAAAATAAAATATTTAGGTTTATTTCCTGCAAACATCTGTTTGTAATCTTCCCTGATTAATCCTGATATTAGCAGTAAGTCAGGCTCAGAGGTTCATGACCATGTATGGTCACAATCTGTCCCAAACATGTTCTTCATTTTCCCTCCCTTCACGTTTAGAGGCAGGGAGCCGAGGATTTAACCAGAAACATCAAAACAAAGAAACATGTTGAAGGTCTTAGCTGAACAAAGTGTTACCAGTTTCCTCAGGACTGCAGATCGAAAAACCATCATTTCATCAGAATGTGTGCAACATCTGCTTCTCTGCAGAACATAAACCCACACACTCTCAGAAACCACACACCCATTAGTCAGACACACAGGTTCATTGATGGAAATCTTTCATGGTCGCCCCCCTTTAGACTATCGGTGTCTGATTGCATCTGTTTTAATTTCATGTGCCTTGATTCTAAATTTGCATGTTTTTCATCTTTGTTTGAAGACATTAGCCTTTGAAAGCTAATCATTAAACTATGTGATGCTTTTAAATCATCACACATCCCTTCATTTCTGTCTTAGAGGGTAAAACCATGGAGAGGTCCCCTGAAAGGAGTTTTTATTCTAAAAAAGTAAGGGACTAACTGGTAATTTTTAAGGATACATCGTTTTTTAACTTTCAGCCCTTCTGAAGTT